TCTTTAACAGGTCCCTCAGCCAGGGACAGAAGCACAGCAAACCTGTACAGAAGTGAACTGATTTGGGCAAGAAGAGGCATGAAGGTTTCAGCTTAATAGCATAAGGACAGATTCAGAAAAAAAATGGTGAAGGAAAGGCTAGCAAAAGAGAGGGAGGTAAATGGCATGAGATGAAATGGGTTTATCAAACCCATTTATCTTTCTTGGGTAAGGCAAGCTGCAAGCCATTTGCTTATTGAAGGAAATGGGGTGGATCTCACCTCTCTGGACTTACACTGCACATTTCATATGGTGCCATGTGGAAAGTTCTTAAGAAAAGGGAGAGGTGATTTTACACAAGGCATAACCCCCTTAAAGACCTGGTGTAAGAGCAGCAGGGCTGTCAGGCTGGAGGGCAGTTACCAGGGGAGTGCTAAACATCACTCTGCAGATCTGGCAAAGTGCTTCTGTAAATGAGCTTGGCACTAATGTTACTGGAGAACTGGTGAATTTGCTGATGACAGAAAATATGAAGCAACCTCAGGAGAAAGGAGGCTTGAAATATTACGCAGGGAAAGGCAGATAGCAGAAAGTGGCGGTCACAGGCACAAATGACCAAAGCCTTTCCTACAAGCTCCCTGGCAGCTCACGCTTTGATCACCAGGTAACTGAATTGTCAACAGTGGAAATAGGAAGTGAGAAATGCAGTCCTGGAAGGCAGCAGGAGATGTGCAGCCCAGGCTGCACTGAAGGCTGGGGTGAGCTTGAGGAGAGGCTATCTCACTTCATTTTGCAAAGCAAATACTGCGAGCATGAGGCTTTCTCCACACAAACACTCCCAGGAAGGGAAGAGAGAAGAGCTGATGGTGCTAAGGGCCAGTGCTGGTACAGCATAAATGATCAAAAGGAGGCATCAGACATTTTGATTAGAATATCGTTACCAATCATTTGACAATGTGGCTCTGGAATGGCCTCCCCACTGCAGCTGTGCATGCAAAATATTGAATTGCTTTGAGGATGGAACTTGGCAAGGTCACGATAAGGATTATATCACATGGTGCCTTTGATAGGAGACCTGATAGCCAGAAGTTCCTGCCAATCCTAAGCACAAAGGTAAATGTTCTGTAAGCCTCTGTCCATATAAATATAGAGCATGTGATTATGTACACACAAAAAACGGGCACATGATTTATTAATCACAGGACCTCAGCTTGTCAAATAATAATTATAAAGCAATAACACACCTTGTTTTAATAAATGGCTCCCTAAGATTTTCTCCCACAGTAAACCAGTAAAAAGGGACAATTATTCTGACGTAGAGGTGGCATTTTGTGTTTCTGGTTGTTAACTTTTAAATGAACTCACCGTCTGGAACACTTAAATCAAGTACTCCCATTTTTCTGCACATTTCACAAGTTCAGCCCTTTCCAGTAAAGCGTCTTTTCAGATGCGTGACTGCCCTTTGTTAAGGCAAGAATGAACAGATGACAGCGGCAGCACGGAGCAGACATGCCTGGAACAGTTTAACGGAGCAAACCCGCTGCTCCACTGCCAGGAGAGTGTACTCAGAGCCCTGAGCAGGGCAGGCTTCTTGTGCAATGTGAGGGGCAAGTCCTGGGAAACCACGAGAGAGACACAAGGCAGTGGTTCGGGAAAGTGTTTATGCAAAGCCATGGCAGTGGATGACTCTTCGGTCTCCGTGCTCGGGCAAACGCAACGCGATCCCTTCTCCAAGGGCGCCCAGCCCCGACAGGCGCTGCACACCCAGGTCTGCAGCACAGCCCCGCTCCCAGCTCTCGGATGGAGCTGCACGAGGATGTTCAAAAGCAGCTCTAATTACTGAGCATTAAAAAAAGTGAAGGCGTGTTTCAGTACCCTTTCAACCTGGAGCTGACGCTGCCTGATGAAGAAGAATGGGTTTGCTGTGTTTGCAGTTCGTTTCATGGAGGCACCTTAGCCGAAGATGCAAAAATAAAAGCAGTCTGAAGGGAAAGAAAGCAGAAGGCCAAGAGACAGGCAACTGAACAGAGCAGATTGATTTAACAGATATGATACATTTTTGCTGTCTGCATTATGTGTGGAAATTCTTATTCCAAGTGACACAGTAACAGACTCGACTGTAATCAAACAGCACTGCTGAGGTGTCAGGAGCACAGATGCTGCCTATCGAAAATATTTAAAACAGAAAGTAAAACTTTGAAAAATCCGCAGTGGGGAGCGCAAGGGAAATGTTCGGTGGCTTTTCTAACCCAAGGCAACTTCTCTCTGCTTTTCTCTGGTGCGGGAGGTCGGGAGCCCTGCGTGAGTCACCCCAGCGGCAGCTCAGCCAGAGCTCGGTGAGAAGCAAAGGCCGGCGCGGCCAGGGCAGCGGAGACACGCGGTGTCCATTGTGCAGCCGGCATGGCACGGGGGAAGGGCTGCTCCACGCGTTTTGGGCAGCTCCAGCCAATGGATTCCTCCCCTGGGTGTTACGGGAGGGCTTGGCCTGCATGTGAGAAAGGGAGGGGAGAGTTTGAAAACAACCCAGCAGGCTCTAAAGGAAGGAAGACTGCTAGAAAGTGACCTGCTCGCCTCCGTGCAAGCATTTTGCTCCAGGTGATCGGCGGCCGTAGGGCTGGAAGCGCAGCAGGGCCGGGCGGCCGAGGCGCGGCGCAGGTAACCCGGGATGCGGGAGTCGGGTCCGGCTGGACACCCCTCACTGCTGCCTCCAGCTGCAAACCCACCAGAAACGCTCCAAGGAATTCGGGGTTTTTTTAGTGGTTTTTATTATTTTTTTTTTCCCCTATGTGAGGAGGAATTTTGCTGGTTTGTTTTTATGGGGATTTTGGTGGTATGTTTGCTGTTAATATGTCTGGGGGAGGGAGGGCAGGAGGGAGCGAGTAGGTCTCTACAGCTCAGAGGTTAGCATGTGATCAGCTGATTTCTACTTGTTGCAGGCAGCTTTGAGGTTAGAAAGGGAAAAAGAGGTGATGTCTTTTAGTAGGCTAGTTGATACAGTGGAAAAATACAAAATATCTTTCACACATACCAGCTCTTTTTCAAGTCATAGTGCTTTACAAATCAGAAAATATGTGCAGATGAGATTTTCAGTGATTGATAACCCACCTGCTACTAGAGATATTCAGCAGAAGAAAGAAAAAACACACAATTTTCTTGTCTGGAGGTGTGCTGGATGGTTTGGTGGTTTTCATCTTCTTTTGACTATTGACCCAGCTTTTAGGCCTCTTGGAAGTGATCCAGTCCTAAACTTTAGCAGAAAATCCTTTAGCAATTTTCCATGGTGCTTTAAAAGGTGTAATTGGCATGATGCCGTATTTTGAGCCATCTTCTCTTGTGCAGGTTCTGGTTACTGTTTCAGTCTCTCTGTCACCTCTTTCTTCTTTCCTGAGAAATCTCTTTAAAGCCCCACTCTGCCTTGCAGGGAAAACTGAATTTCACGATCAATGTTAATAGTTAGAATTTATTTTCCAAATCTTGGTGATGACAGTGTGATGGTTTGCTTGGTATGCACGAGTCAGCAGAGGTGCAGAGAACAAACCAGGAACTATTTTTTGATTGATGGGGAAACAACATCTTTTAAAGCTGCCTCTAGGTCGCGTGTGAAAAAAATCTTGTGTGAGCACGTTGGACTGTTCTGACTTGAAAAACTCTGTAATTCAGTGTCTTCATGAGCAAGAAAGGTTTTCTTTCTGTCATTTAGCTGATGGGGAAAGTATCATGAAAACACGGCAATCGTGCTGCACATTCTTTTTACTGATTGTTGTTTTAGATCTTAAACCTATTTTGGATGATTCATGAGAGCCAGACCAGTAAATTAATTCAGAGGCTCTTACACAAGGGAACTTTGCCTTTTATTTCAGTCAGAAGTGTACCAATCTGGAGTGGAATTATACGGGAAAAATATTTAATAATACTACAAAAGTCAAGTCATAATCTGGTTAACTGAGGAGGTTTCTCTCGCTGGCAGCTGGAAAATCCTGCAATGCACAAGTACCAAAGCCTGGGCTCCCTGGAGTGACAAATTAGGGAGAGAAGACAAAGGGTGAGCCGAGTTTTGAGAGACCTGAATGGAGGCAAAGCACATGACAATTAGAGGAGACTGTCATCTCTAATTAAGTGTGTGCCCTCAGGCAGTTCGTATAGAGTAAACAGGGTAAACGTAAACGAAAACAAGGTGGGAAGTGTGGAAGGCTGCGGACGGACGCGCACGGTTTGCCTGTCAATGTAAACCTAATCCTTAAAGGTGTGTTCAGCGTTTCAGCGGGGCAGAAGGCGGCCGCACAGCAGCCTAATCCTTAAAGGTGTGTTCAGCGTTTCAGCAGGGCAGAAGGCGGCCGCACAGCTCCCGCCGTCGGCGGGCACAGCAGCCGCAGCCCCGCGGCCAGCCCGGGCGCCTGAGGCCTCCCCGGCCGCGCGCCCCAGACCCCCGCCGAGGGAAGGGCTTGTGAGGGAGGCAGCCAGAGGCCTGAGCTCCCCTTCTTAGCAGAGAGAAACACACACAGATAAGAGGTAATAGGTTGTTTTTTCTGATGGTTTTCTTCATGAAAGGAAGAAAAATAGACTTTTAATTAAAGAAGTAGAACAGCAGTGGGGGAGGAACCAGGCACAGCTGTCGCGTTTCCGCGGCTGCCCCGCTGCTAGCACCCAGCTCGCCCCGGCGGGATGTGAGGAGCCCTTCTCCCACCTCCCGGGGGCTGCCGCTTCACACCTGCCCCCCTCGGCGGAAGGGCTCAGGCGACGCTGTCCCGGTGTGGCCGCTCCGGGCCGTGTCCCACAGGGAAACGGGGCGCCAGGCCAGGAGCGCCTCCGCTCCCCGCACCAATGGCTCCTTCCCGCCCCCCGCACCCACCCGCGATGGTCTCGCCCTCCCCGCTCTCCCCCGGCCTTCGCTCCGAGCCGAATGAGCACCGAGCCCCGCCCGCCGATTGGCTGCGGGGCGGGCGGCAGCCAGCCAATGGCGGCGCCGCGGGTGGCCGTGTCGCTGGGGTAGAAAACACGAGCGGGTACGCGCGCGGGGGCGGGGCTGGGTGGCGGACGCGCGCACGGCGGCGGCGGCTGAGGGGACTCGGGCCGGGCCGCGGCCCTGAGGGAGCGGTGGAGCTGCGGGCGCATCCCGGGAGCTGCGGGCGCTCCCGGGCCGCGGCGGCCACTGCCAGGCCCGTGCCTGTGCTCCAGTCCGGCCCCGGCGGCCCGAGCCCTCGGGCCCGCTCCCAGCGGCCTGCAGCCCTCGGTCCGGCGGCCTGAGCCGTCGGTCCCGCCCGCTCCTCAGCGCCGACGCTGCGCCGCCGTTGGTCCCGGCCAGCGGCACGGGTTTGGTAGGAGAACCGAATCTTGCCGTGGCTTTTGTTTGTGCGGCTGCAGAACAGCAGCTGGTGTTGGCAGGCCTCCAAAGCTTCGGTGGTGGGGGGTGTTTGCCTAAAGTTAGCGAGGGGGGAAAAGAAGTGCATGCTATGTGAAAGTTACTCAGGGATGCTTTGCACCTCGGGAGGTCTGGATAACTTTTGGAAGCTTAGTCCTGCTGCGTGTGTTGTTTCTAAAGGTTAGTGTGCCTGCTGAGGTAGAATTGCCTGTTTAGATGAAGTGCAAGAAATGGTAGTGGGTACAGAGCACCGAGCACGTTTCATTGGTGGGTTTCAGTGACTTAGAAGAATACCCTTGTCTTATGAACTACTTTAAAAGTACTGCTCATATCACTGATTTATCTTAAAAATTTCCATGGCATTTATGTTCTGCCTAAAGTGGCTTCTGTCCATTTTGTTCCTGTATTATCTCATCCAACATGGATTCTGATGTTTTAAAGGTAGTTTTGTGAATTGTGTTCCATAGGTTTATTGGTAGTGCTGTGTGATGTCAGTCTGCAAATGAGAAAATGGTGGGTTTTGGATACAGTGATAAATCCCAGCATCCTGAAGCTCCAGAATCTTCTGGTTTGAGTTAGTGAGAAGGTGCATTGCTAAACAGAGATTGGATCTCCCATCTCCTGATCAGTATGACAGTAGGACTTGTAAGGCTTGGATATTCCATTATGCTTGTTATAATCAAAGTAGGATGCTCACTCTCAGAGTGGTGCTGCATGGAAGTTGGGTTGTTGTTTATTATGTTGCCACAGGTGCAGGATTTCAAGTAGGGTCCTGTACAGAAAGAGATTTCTCCACTTGAAATTTAGAATTTGGTTACAAGTGATGAAAGCTGTGATTATTATTTAACACAGGTTTTGTCCTTTTTTGTCTTTTCCCAAGAGGTGGACAACTGATGGAACATTCCACTAGGAAGGATAAAACTGTTCTTTCAAGGTAGTTTGCACAGATTAGACTGAGACCTACACGGAAAAATATCTCAACCAACAGTGACTGGGAACGCTTGAGAACTCCTGAATGATTGCTTGAGGTAACTCACAAAAAACGTTTAAACAAATGTGTGGGGCAGGGAAAACTCGTATTGCACAAGGCTGGGAACTGTTTTGTTTGGCGTTGGGAAATACAAGACCATGACAGCTGAATGCTGTGCCCCAAACCAGAGTTTCTTTATTGCCAACGGTCTGTGATGAATCATTTGCCATTAATGGGTCTGTGGCAGGCAAGTGGGCATGAAAGAGGAAAACCAGGGAAGAGAAAAGGGGAAGGGAATGCAGTTGTTTGGTGTCACAATCTTGCCACTCAACGGTGAACAATTTTCAGGGCAGCAAAGGATGAGAAGGGGAAAAAAGGGCTCCTGAATTCTTATGGGACACACACAAATAGCAGTAATATTCCCAGGCCTATGAAGGGATTTGTGAAAATCTTCCAGGTGAAGAAGTGTATGAGGGAATTCTGGGACTGCTTAATTTTTTATGTACATAAAGTAAAGATGGATGATGCCATCCTGTTCACAGTGGCATGGGGTGGTTTGGGGAATAGCAGCTACTAGGAATGGGGAGAAAGAGAAGCAGAAAAAGAGAGGTGTTTAAACGAGAACTTTATACCTTGCAGACTGAATGGTGGTTGCAAGGAGTGTTTGAAGGGTGCAGAAGCACAGATGTGAAAGCTTGATAGTCTTTGTTTTACTGTATGTGTACATATAGCTGTGTCCTTGAGGGGAGGATCAACAATTAGCTTGTTTTCTGAGGGCTGGGCTGAACTCGATAAATTGGTACCATTTTATCAGCATCATTCACATGAAGAACGTTTCTCTCGTGGATGCAGTTATAACATTGATATTGTACACTCATACAGATAACCACTTGGCAGAACAGGACAGTCTAGGTTAATAGAGGTGGCTTTTATCAGCTAAAAAAAGCTGTGTACATGGGGCTTTTACCCTTAAAATAACGGCTTTTGTCCCATTTATAAGCAGCAGAACTGACAGCTGCTGAGGCATCCAGGCTTAGATGTGTTGGAGGGTGTGCTGCTCTCTTGCTACACCATTTACCTTCCCAGGAACTTTTCAGCTGCTACTAGCAGTTAATTATAGCTGAAGCCCCCCCATTTTTATATTTTGTGAGTGAAGCCTTTGCTTTGATCTCGTGTTTTTTGTCCTTTAAGCTTCTCTGTTTCTGTTTAGGCCTTGGAGGAAAACATTAAGACTTTACATTTCACAGTCAGCTCTGTTAAGCAGCTATGGAAATAGAAAAGGAACACATTTATATTACCCCAACAGGTAAGTAATATATTCAGTTGTTCTGGTTTTTTTTGAACTTAAAATTGCTTAGCTGATCAGAAGGGTAGCTAAGTAGAAAAAAATGGACCACCTGATAATTTTTTTAACAATACTGATCTAGAAAAAAATAATCAAAAACTTACAGAATAATTTCTTCAACTGTATATCAAAGAATCCTGCTCATTTATGTTTATTTAAAATTTATTAAAATAATAAAGTTAGCATTTCTGTAAGTTGCTGGATAGTAGTTGCACTTGTCTCCTTATCATCTGAGTTCAAGTAATGCTGGTGTGAACAAAAAAATAAACTTAAAAGTAAAATGTGTAGGTGTGTTTAAATTCTGTTTTTATGCAACAATTTACTTTAAAATAAGGGAAACAAGTGTTGAAGGGCTTGACTGAAAGTGGGCTGGCATGGGAAAAATGTAGGAAGTACATCTTAGAGACTTCCATGAAATGGACTGTTTTGTCCATATCACATTTATTTTATGATGCTTAGTTGGGGTGACACAGATTCATGTTGTTTTCTGTATCTTCCAAAGGTTGTGATGGTCTGCACTGACTTCCATGTCAAAGAGGTTTTAAATGTCCTTTAGAATAACGTGTATCTATTTTAAGATGGTGGGTAATGCACTTGAGGTGGCAATATATCCATATGATTTCTGATACTTAAGCAGAATTGGGTTCATGCAGAAGACACCTTGGTTCTCAACATTTCAGAATTATATTTGGCTAATAGGTGGAAAGCTGCAGGAGAGCTGTGTTGGCAGTTTGGACAGTTAAAATTGGTAGAAGGCTTTGTTAACAAAGGTAGCCCATAAAAGCACAGATTTTAAGTGAGCCTGCTAGGCTGAATGGTAGGATAATGAGATAAATTTGGATAACTTCTTAATGTATAGTAAGCAAAGTATTAAATTTGATTGAAGACTGTTACTGCCTATATATGTATATGTTCTATGAGGTGAAAATATGAAGCTAGAAGGAAGATCTTCACCATTTTATAGGTACTTATTATTTTAATTTATTATATAAGTTTTAGGGAAATAGTATATGTGTTCAGTCTGTTTTTCTAGCCCAACTAGGTAACTAATAGTGGAGGACCAGTTGGTTACCATATTGTGGAGAAGGAGGCTGAAGCTGGAAGTTATAGTATTATATAAAAACCAGTGTACTAGTGCAGTGAGAAATATTAATTCTTGTGGGTTAGATGTTTCCTTTAGTCTTGAACCTGAGATCAGGATTGTGTAAGGAGGTTGGACTGTAGCCTCCCTTTAATCCTTAGCTGTCAGAGTCAGGACTGACTTGTGTTAATTGTTGGCAGTTTCCTTTGGAAACTGAGAAAGAAGTAAGCGGTCAGTGAAGAGTGGAGTTTCTGGACAGCCTTCTCAGGTCTAAACTGGAGGAATTCATGGGAGACTGAGCATGAAGAAGAATTTGAGTGGATTTGACTGAGAGGAGCTGGTTGTTGCTGATGGGGTCTCCTGGGGAATGAGAGGAAGGAAACCTGTTTGGGTTTGCTCTTTTTTTCCCCTCTGTTAGCTTTATGCAAATCTCTCATTGTTTTATTAAAATGTTAGACAAACAGAGAAAGCTGCTTGTGAGAAATCTTTTCCTGGATGTGGTGTATGCTTTTCTTTTTTAGCTTGCTGCAAGCATAAAAGGAATGCTTTTGTGGGAGTAATGAGTGGAAAGATGAAGCTTAGCCTGGAATGGCTGCATTATTGCTCAGCTGTAGCATTCATATCTCTGAACACCAGTATCTAAATGTTATTTCTGTGATCACAAAAGGAGGCAGTTCCATCAACTTTTGCTCAATTTAAAATCATCTTTGATTTGGGTAAATACTTGGAGATAGGCAATATTTTATAGTCCACTTTGCTTTAAAAACAATTTTTCATGAACTTGTTTCAAAGTGAAAAAACCATAATTCTGAGAAATATTGCCAAATGCATGTTGCTGGTGAGCAGATATTGGAAGGGTGAATTATTATGTTAGCTAAGTTCAAATGTAAATTTTGAATACTCTTCGTATTCTGGGTTTATGGCAGTGAACTCTTCTGTAGAGCAGTTTTGGAAAGGCAGCTTCTTCTGAGTGCCCTCTTCTTGTCCTGCTAGTGTTGGGGCTGTGCGTTGTGTCTTTAGGACTCTGCTCAGTTCTGAAGAAATGGAGAACTGTGTAACAGAAAGCTGAGGCTGTTCACTGTCTTTGTGTGTCTTCTAATTTGCAAGGACTCCCAGGGTACTCACTGGAATGTAAATAGGTTCTCAGGTGCTTTTTCTTTTTTTTTTTAGAATAGCTTGTGAAAGCTTTTCTTTATAATGCTCTAAATAAGACATTCTGCTGAACCACACAGCGCTAGTGGGGGACAACTTAACTTTGTGAAATAAGACTTTAGACCTAAACATTAAATGTGCTTCCTCAGAGAGTGAAGTTATTGTGCTTCTCAGTGCTCTGAGATATTTACAGGTCCTTAAGTAGTGAGAAAGTTTTTTGTTGGGTACAAAACAGTCCTATTATATCTGATTGTGCTGTGTTTAGAAACAGTTTTGACAGCAGCTACAGTGAGGGACAATCCGTAGAGAAGAGAGATCCCACTGATTCAAAGGGCTGTACATTCTAGGAGTCTTCATTACCAAGCTCTCCAAGCTTTCTAGTGAACAGCATTTTTTCCCCCATAACTTCAAAAAATAAAATTAGTAATGTTTTTGTATTCTTCTATTTTTTCTAATTCTAAATTGTTGCTTTTCTTGCTAGTGAGCTGTGTTTGAAATTCCTTGAATTGAATAAGGGGAATGTTGGTTGATGATTTAGGGACTTAATTTCACTTTGGTGATGAGTCTTGTAACATTGGTGAGTTCCTACAGAATTTACTGTATTGGCAGTTTCATTTGTTTCTAAATCAAGAGAAGAGTGGGAGGAGTGAGAATGAGGCACTTAGATCTATGCACTTAGGAGTTTGGATAGTTTAACAAGGGTGGGGTTTTCTGTGGTTTATGTATTTATGTATGGTTTTATTAATTTGCTCTGCAGCTCTTGACATCTGCTCTGTTTAGATTGTGGATATTTTGTGCAGGGGAATAAGGAACTCCTTATTACTGCAGTATGTAGACATACCTTAAAAACAATGTTTGCCTTTACACTGTTGAAAACAAGAGTTCTATATGATGTTATAATCTTTTCTAAATGCAATGTGTTTTGGTATTCTTTCTCTTCCATCTATTCCCAGCCTGCCCAATGTCTTGTGTGCTTGGTACAAATACTTCATGGAATGGATAGTTTGGACATTTTGTTAACATACAATCTTCCATAACAAACATATTCTGAATAAATATATCTTACAGCCTTATTACTGGGAGAAGAGGAGAGAAAGCAAAGCTTGTTGGGCAGAGGGGCTTTCTATCATTGAAAGGGAAATGGTGATTAGGAACAGAGAATGCTGAAGTCTCTGAGATCAATACAATTGCAAGACTGACCATCAGTACACTGTATGTGACATAAGCAGAGCAATGCTGGTGTCCTTTGAGTAGAGGCTGTTTGCTGTAGCCATAGCTGCTGATACTGTGGTGTGTGAGATTATCAAAACCTTCTTCCAGGATCGATTTTCCCTAAAATTTGACTCTTTACATGAACAGAAATAGCCATTAAAAAGGGGGCTGGCAAGTGCACAGAACAAAATTTAATGAAGAATGAGCATTTTTTGTAACTTTGGTGTGATGGAAGGATAGGTTTTTTGATTTCTACTATACTTCTTGATCATGAGGAGTTTCTTTCCATTAAACACTGGTTGAAAATCATCTTTGATCAGATGTCTTTGTTCAGCTCTGTAGTATTGCTCTGAATGTTGCTTCTCTAGGTGCAGAGTAGGGAACTAAACTAGAGCAGGGAGATCCGGTGCTGCTGGAACTTTGCAGGACAGGTGATACATGAGGCAGTTGCTGTGTGCCTCTTTTTTCCCCCTCAGGGAATGTCTTTGCTCACAAATATTCTGAAAATGCTTTTCTGTGATTTGTGCATGGCATCACCTGTCTGGTGACACAGTCACCAAGGAGGAGGGAACAAGGCAGGGTTCCTGCCAGGAACGGGAGTGCCACTTGCAGGGGAAGGTGCTGTGGCACAGCCAGCTCTGCTGGGCTGGAGCAGGAGCTTCTGCTGCTCTCCCTTCAGTATGGAGGCACTGTGGTATCAGTTGAATCCTAGGAACAGAGCTGGGTGCATTTACCATTGTTTAACAGTAAATTCAGCCTTTCAGTTGAGTTCAGCTAACAGCAAACTGAAAATATGAAGAAGTATGACAGTTAGCCAGCATTGTCTGCACTCTAATAGTAGAGACAGAGCCTAATGTTTTTTGGCAGAATATTGACTACCAAGAACAAAGCATTAAGGATTAAAAACCACTATTTTGATGCCATTAGTCCTGAATAAGGTGCAAGAAAAGACAGTAAGGATATCTGCTTCTGTTGTCTTTTAAAACAGGAGAACTGTGTGTATGAAACAGTAGTTTTACCACTTGATGAAAGAGCATTTGAAAAAACTTTAACACCAATCATCCAGGAGTATTTTGAACATGGAGATACTAACGAAGTTTCGGTATGTTATGTGCCTTTTTTTTTTTCTTTGTTTTAGGGGTCAAAGCTGTAGCATACAGGGTAATGCAATTGCCAGCTATGAATGAGTTTATAGAGAAGTTGGCAAGAAAGGTACTATAAGAATACCCAAGCAGTTATAGTAATTATGGCAGCAAAAGCATATCTGTAATTGTATAAGGACATATTTATCTGAGCTCTATGTATATATTTAAACAGTAAAAAATATGAAATCTCATTGTTTTGTTTTTCAAATCTTATCTAGGAGATGCTGAAGAACTTAAACCTTGGAGAAATGAAATACAGTGTGCCAGTGCTGGCTGTTTCCTTGGCATTAGAGGGGAAGGCTAGTCACAGGGAAATGACATCTAAGCTTATCTCTGACCTTTGTGGGACAGTCGTCAGTAAAACTGATGTGGAAAAATCCTTTGATAGACTGCTCAAAGAACTACCTGAATTGGTGTTGGATTCTCCCAGGGCACCACAGGTATATTTGTAAATCTTTAAGCCAGTAGTCAAAAGCTTTGTGTGGCTAAAGTAGATCAAATAAAATTAAATAGACTCTGTGTTTTGAAAAGTATCTATTGATTTTCTTGCTGTCTGTAATCGTCTCCCAGTTAACCCGGGCTGTGTTTTCACTTTGAAACAGCTCATTTAAATAAAATGTGAAAACCAAGCACATTATAATTATCTACTTAAAACTTGTTTGAAATTCCGCATTTAATTAAAAATGCTTCTGTTTTGTTGCAGTTGGTGGGCCAGTTCATTGCTAGAGCTGTTGGAGATGGGATCCTAAGCAGTACCTACATAGATGGCTACAAAGGCACTGTGGATTGTGTCCAAGCTCGGTAATTTCCTTGCTTTCTCTATAGAGACAGTTTTCTATTTCAAATGTCAAAGATGATGATCAGGAATTTACAGCTTCAGAATAAATCATGCAGTTCTTTAACTTTTTTTTTTTTTAATTTGAAATTAAAAAAAACCTAACCACAAAACCTGCAACAAAACCAACAAAATCCAGAATGACTCAAGTCAGACGAGAAATACTGAGTTCTGAAAAATGTATTAATACATTTGAGTTGAGGTTGTCAGGTTTGTTGTCCAGCTTATGTTCGAGGGTGAAAAATGAGCTGAAAGAAGAAGTGGTTATGGAAGGTTTTGTCTTAGAAAAAGCTTTAATGTGATTAATGGGTAAATATAGCATCAGGACAGCTGCTGTAAATATGTTGTGAAATACACAAGGGATTAACTGTTTTGCCTTACAAAGGTTTGAAGCCTGTGCAGCGATTTCCGAGACTTTCTCTGTAATGCTCTATTTGTCAAGACGTACAATTGTTTTCCATGTCAGTGTGAGAAGTTTGAAGGAGCAGTCTCTGACAAAGAGGGATGTTTTAATAATGAGTCATGTTTTATTTTTCTTACCCCCATAAGTGTATGTTTCAGGCTTGATGTGGAGGTGCTGAACTCCTGTTTCTTCCAGAAGTTGCATTTACAGTGATTTTAGTTTGGCACTTTCAGAAGGAAAAGCGGTTCTTAGCTGCCTACCTTGGGGGCTCAAATTGAGAAAACTGTCTGTCACTTATATAAATGTGTCCTGTGATTTGAAGGATTGTAGTCTGCATTCTCCACATCTGGGATGCTTTGCTGCCTTTGTTATTTCTTGGCCAGTCTTTCCTGCTCATTAAATCTTGGTGAATAGAGTTATTGTTATTGGCTTGCCCCCAGCATGAGGACTGGGAGAACTGTTCCTCCTTTACATGGACGGTACATACTGTATCCCAGACTTCTTTTTTGTCACCTCACTTCCCTTTTTATTCTTTTCTCAATAAACTGGCGGCCATCCCTAGCTTGTGCTATTTTTCCAACTACATATTTACCTTCTGAAGTGTTTTTTTTGGCTTAAATTCTAAAGGTTTCATAATTCTTCAGACCCAAAAGGAAAATAGTATTTCAGTAGAAAACTGTTCTTGAGTGTGGCAGCAACGCAGGCCTTTTATGTTTGAGACCTGCCTGCCAAGCTGCATTCTTGGAGGAGTCTGGATACAAACCATTTCTGCATAAGAAAAATATTCAGGTGTTTTTTGTGAGGATGTTTCAGCTTCTGAATTGGTGATTTAATCTACTGCCATCACACCATTGTTACCTGTCCTTGATATGAGCAGGAGTGTAAGAGTGACAGAAAGACAGTGTGGGGAGCTTATTTTTTGCTGGTTTTTTATCTGGATGGTCACCTGGAGTTGATAACCCTGACCTCTTCCCGAAGATCTGGTGGCTTTGTCTGAGGAGACGTGGCCATGGGGGAAGTTGCAGATGCATTTTAATGAAGTTCTGTAATCAGGTTTAAAGCACTGCCTTTGCCTTTAGAGCTGCGCTGGACCGCGCCACGGTGCTGCTGAGCATGAGCAAGGGAGGCAAGCGCATCGACAGCGTCTGGGGGGCTGGAGGGGGCCAGCAGTCTGTGAAACACCTGGTCAAAGAGGTAATGACAACACGCCCCACTCTCCAGTGGGCTGTTGGCCTGAGCTTGCTTTGTTTGGGGTAGAGGGAAGGAGAGACAAGTATCCCATACTAAAATGATGTCTTACATTGTGAGTGTTGGTTTTGTTCTGTTGTTTGGGCTTTCTTTTTTTATATAGTTTATTTAGACAAAGTAGTAGAACTGATGTAGATAATTTAGTTGATTTTGTAGTATTTGTCACTGGTGGGAGCATGCTGGTACAACATTCTGTATATGTTTATTTTTGCTTCAAGCAAAACTTGTAAGCATTCAGGTTTTTAGGACCTCACAGTATAAAGTGATGAAGTAATTAAAAGAGCCAAGATGAAACTGGCTAAACTAGATAAACTATTATTTTTTGGCATTGCTGGTCAAAAGCACAGTAATAACTCAAAAAAAAAGAGAGGAAGAAAGAGGAATGTTCAGAGATCCATGCCATAACGTAAGCCGGTCTAAAGGAAAAGGTCATGTTACAGTTTCTAGGTTGGGAGTCTAACAGATGATAGGAGGAGGCATTCGAGGGAGAGGATAAACTTCATGCCACCCACATGCTCCTTTTATGGTGACACACAGTTTATAAAATAATGATTTTAATGCTTCTGTATCAACACTGTGGATAGGTATTTGGCTTACACAGTGTTTCAGGTTACTGATAATGTCTCCATTTTAATTAATGCCTAAATTTAATTATATTTGTAAAAGCATTGGCAGCAAGTTTGAGGAACTAACTTGCTGCTGGGTTGCTAGTGGATTATCAAAATGGTTAACAGCTTTTACATTTTGTATCTAATTATTGCTGGGGTTTTGTTTTAAAATTCAATAGATTGATATGTTGCTGAAAGAGTATTTGCTTTCTGGAGATGTATTGGAAGCAGAACGCTGCCTTCAGGAACTGGAAGTACCCCATTTTCACCATGAACTTGTATATGAAGTAAGGAGAAATCAGGGTCCCTTTAATAATTGTTGGTGTTTTGATGTGGGCATGCAAATAATATAACTGCCATTTGAAGCTTAGGTTGCTTGTTCTGTTATTTGAATAACTAAATTGTTTCATGTAAAGTTAAAGGTTTGTGTGCTCATTTGTGTGTGCATTGTGCAACAAGTAAGCTGCTGCTGACTCTGGGAAAATCCAGAAGTAATTTCTGGGGGTTAAATAGTTGAATTCAGATTATTATAAGCTACTGAAAATAAAATCTCAGATTATTTTCTGCTGAGGAATAGCAACAAAGAAAATCCTCTCATGCTTTGTTTTGGTGTTTATTTCCCCCTAGTTTCAGATATCTGAGTATTCTAATGGGTGTTAACCTGTTTTTGTTAAGTTATAGAGCTTCCTTTTTCAGGGTGGGATTGTTTCACCCAGCACATTTGTAAAAGCTTACATATTTCAGACCCAGCCTATATGGGAGACTGTTCCCATTTGTACTCTTTTATCTGCCAAATTGGGAAATGGTTGTTTACCAATAAAGCTGAACACCCACAATCTACAAAATCTCCTTTTCAGTAAATTGACTTGTTATAGAAAATTCCTTCACAACAGAACTACAGAATCATTTCAGTTGATGGAGGTTGTGCAGTATTTTAAGTAGATTTTAAGCTTATGAGTCCTCCTAAAATCACATATAAGAAACCCCCATGGATACAAAATTAATTTCACAAAATTAATTAATTAATTGCCATCTGAACTGCAGCAGCCATATGGATATAGTCATGTAGTGCTAAAACCAGAGAGAGAGAGGCAATGCTTTTCACTCTGTCTAGTCCTTTCTAGTTTTTCTTACCTTTTATTTTATCCAAAGAATTTTCATTAGTTTTTTCTTTTCTAATAATAATATTAAACTGAAATTGTGAGTGCATGTAGCAAATGGGCTTTTTTTCCCCAGAAAATTCATAATAACACATTCATTCCTTTCTGTACCTCATATGGTCACACACCTTGTACCTGAGCCAGTGTTTTCATTTTAGTCAAAACACTTGCATGATTTGTTTTAGGCCATTGTACTGGTTTTGGAGTCAACTGGAGAAAAGACCTTTAAAATGATACTGGATTTGCTGAAAACTCTGTGGAAGTCTTCTGTCATTACTGTGGACCAAATGAAAAGAGTAAGTATGGCATTTAGATAACTTTGCATAAGGTCTTCCAAAATTTCCAGCTGCCTTTATGCAGTTAAATGGTTAAAACTAATAATCTAAAATGCTGAAATATTGCTTCATCTTTTAAATTTGTCTTTTTATCTGGTAGTTCTTTATAACTGAAGTAGTACAATAGAGGCCTACTAATTACAAATGTTAAGTAGAGCAGTATAAAAACCAGTATTTTGCACAGTTGGAATCACCTGTGACTTCTTAGGATGAGTATTGGACAGCAATTCTGTCCCAGGGCAGACTGGGGACCACACCAACACTTACGTAAAAATTGACCCAGCTGTGTTGCTGGTGGGAAGTGATGAAGTCATCTCTGGTTGTCTCCAGTCTCCCCTGCTGCATAAACTTGTGTTGGTCATTTGTGGCCACATTTTGTTCACTTACATGGAAGACTTGATAATTTTCTTCCCATGTTACTAGGCTTGTAGTAACAGGCAGGTTAACATACAGATTTCATTCATACTGTCTGGATTTCTAAATAGATATTTGTATAATGGTGTGGGCTGATATATATTATTTCTCTACTTGTAGTTGCAATGCTTTAGGTTTGTGAAACCATATAAAAATCCTCTGGAATGCAGAAGGGTATTTAAAAGCATTGTAATAAATCATAGAATAACCTGATGTTTATTTGAATCCTTACTGCAGGGCTATGAACGGGTTTACTGTGAAATCCCAGACATTAACCTGGATGTGCCACACTCCTATTCTGTGCTGGAGCGCTTTGTAGAGGAATGTTTCCAGGCTGGAATCATCTCCAAACCCCTGAGAGACCTCTGCCCTTCGAGGTACTTCTTTCATTGCAGATAGGCAAAGGCACTGCTTTTCATTCCTATCACAGGTTACAGAAAGCAGCATCTTGGGGCCAAAGTGTTGCTGATTGGAAACTGGAAATGGACCAACAGTTGGACTGGTAAAACGTGTATTTAGAAGCTGCACTGATGTGAAACCTGTTGAGGCTGGGATTAATACTTGAGGAAAGGCAGCCTCCTGTGAACCTGAGTAAGGCAGCACCCCTCAGTGCTCCCCAGAAGTTAAAGGCTGCCTCTCCTCTGGTTTCTTGATTTGCTTGGTAGAAATCAGTGCAGCACCAAGCTGGAAGATCCACGTTGTCACAATGGCCCGAGTAGGTGACAGTGGAAAACTGTCAGCTATACTGGGGAAATAAAAAAATAATCCTTTAAAAATTGTTTAAACTTACCAAACAGTGTGAGTAGAGTTCTGAGATGAGACAATCAGTCCTAATTACATAAAAAGGAACAGTACACTAATGTGGGATAAGCTCTGCACACTCCATTCCTCATATCTGTCCTGTGATTTGTGTAATGCCTTTTTTTTTTGTTTTGCTTTCTTTTGTTATAGCTTGGTTACTTGTAGCATAAATAATGCTATGTGAACTGTACCTAATCAGTATGCTGTTACCTCCTTACTGGTCACAAAACAGTTAAGAAGTTTCATTACATTTCCCCATTTCCTCTGGGGAATATATGTAAATTTTAAAATAGGATGTTAATACTATTATTCACAGTTTTATGCATTGGGAATAGTATTTATTTGACAGGTCTTTTCTATTTTGGGTGTTTTGTTGGAGTTCTTAAACATGATAAATTTGGATCTTGGAATGTTAGCATCTTTATCAAGAACAGCCTCCATTTGTGGACTTCACACTTAAAACTCTGTGTGTGTGTGTTGGTATGAAATGTTTTGCAGGTCTGGGTGTGTGGGAGGATAGAGAGTCATCACTGCATCAAAAGCTTGATTATAGTTTAGTTACCAGTTATATGTCGAGAGGCATTTTTGTTTTGTGTACTTCAGTTCTAAGTAGAAACCCACCATTCCTAGGTTTCCAAACCAGCATTTTTAAGCAGCTGAGCTGACATTGTGATCACTGCTAACCCTGCTGAACTCACACTTTATATTTGACTTCCAAGACCTGAGAGAAGATTTTTCTCAGCGATAAAAAACAAGCCACACTAAATGACTGAAAAGAGACTTTCTACTTTCTTACAGGGGCAGGAAGCGTTTTGTGAGTGAAGGAGATGGAGGCCGTCTGAAGCTGGAAAGCTACTGAATGTGAGACCTGCCTCCTGAAGCCTTACAAGTTGAAAGGGAACATAACTCGCTGTCGATATATACAACACGCATGCTCCTCTGGTGTGTGAATGGATACACATCTAGGACAGACCAAATTTAAGAGTTGCTTAGCACAGTTCGTATTTTTTTAAGAGCACATGTTTTGGGTACAAATTGTTTTCTTTTTTTTTTTTTTTAATAGTTTTGTAAATTTCAGGAAGAAGTGTTCTTTCTTTGGGCATATAGTAGAACAACTAGCCACTCTGCTGTGGTGGTGCCTTGAAATAAGCTATGTCTGTATGTGCCATGTTTATGACCTAATCATTCCACGTGTGCATCGATGTCTGACTGCCGCTCGCTCTTTCCAGGACAGTGCTGTCATCATAAAATCACTGGTTTATACAAAGCTTTATTATAGAAGGGTCAAGTTAAGCTGCTGTGATCCCATTTCCATTGCTGCTAAAGAAATACTGTGCTTTGGGAGTTTAAAAAAATTAGCAGTTTCTTTGTTTTAAAGAGCCCAAGAAAATACAGCTGGGGCACAAGACGAATTCAACTGTTTCAGGGGAGAACACTGGTTGGTTTCAGCCCCCATGTACCAAACTTGTCTTTTTTTCTATGTAACTGGAAAAGTGAAAAGTTCTGGTAAAACATATTAAAAATATTTTTTGTGAAGCTCTTGTTTGTGCCTCCTTTTTATTTATTTTAAACAGAATAAATTAAGCAGTACATCTAATGCTGCCCTTTGGTATTGCAGTCAGGAGCAGAGCACAGAGTAATTAAACTCATGGCAAGTGAGTATTTACCAGATCTGTTTTGGAAAACACAACTGACTTGCGTAGGAGCGTCCACGCTGGCACAGATCCTGTGAACGTGTCTTTGCAGCAGAGCTTCGTGCAGCCCTTGCTCAAGAAGAAGATGGATCTAAGGATGACTCGCTTACAGGAACTCGGTAGAGCCTCTCCTTTGTTTTTTCAGTTCCACGTCAAGATTTCAGGTGTTCCAGAATGCTGGGAATAGCCATTCCAGGGCCGGGAATATGCTGTGCTCTAGGAGCCAAGCGCTTCAGTGCTCGAGCGGGTCTGGTAAGCCCGGCTTGGAGCAGGGGCTTGTGGAGCTCGCCTCCTCCCGCTCTGCTTTCCTGGTACCTCTGAAGACGCGTTTAAAGCAGCGCCTGGGCAGCGCAACTTCTACACCACCAGCGCCCGACGCGCGGCCTCCCCGCCCAGCCGGCACCACCGCCCCGTCCAGGCCACGCTTTAATCCGCAGCCCCGTTCCACAGCGGTACCTCCGAGCGCGGGGGCCGGGCACGACCCTGCCCGCGCTACTGCCGGGGCGGCGCGGCCCCCGCGGACGGCGGCGGGGCCGCCTCGGGCGGCTGGGCCGCGTCCAGCACCGCCTTCTGCAGCTTCTCCAGCTTCTCCAGCGACACCGACTTGAGGGGCAGGATCTTGGGCTTACACAGCACCATGGCGGCCGTGTCCTCCACCGACAGCTGCCCTGCAAAGGGAGAAAAGGGCCGTGAGCGAGTGGCGGGCCGGGCGGGCACGGCCGGGGGGTGCTCGCCGCCGGTACCTTGCTTGGGCAGCACCTCCCGCAGCGCTCCCGTCCCCTCCGGCATGGCGGCTCCGGCACGGCACCGCCTCCGGGGACAACTACAGCTCCCAGCTTGCACTGCGCGGCGCCACTCCCACGCACCCGCTCGTGCCCCCCCGGTGCGTGCTGGGAGTGGTAGGCCTAACGGGGCTCCGGCCGCCCAATGCGCGCTGGGAACTGTAGTCCTTGGCGTGGAGCTGCGCCGGGGCTGCCCCGGGCGCGGCGGGAGCGGCTCCGCCAGGGCTGTCCCGGTCCCGGGATTCCGGGCTGCCGCTCCCCGCCTCAGCTGCGCCGGGCTTTGCTCTGGGGAGGAGCCGTCCCACCTGCGCGGGCCTGCCCGGCCCGGCGAGCCGCTGCCTGCCCGCCCGCCAGGGCCCGCCGCGGAACTCAGGCTTTGAGGCGCTTTTATGGTTTATTTTCTGCTTCTGTAAATAAAATCCCCACCAAACACCGTCCAGCAGACGGGCGTGGCCAGGGCGTACGCGTCCCGGTTTTCGTTTCCAGGCAGCGCCTGGGGATTCGCGCTGTGAATCACGCTGCTGTTTGACATGTAAACAGCAGTAAAAGCCGCTCTTTCTAAACACGGAGAGCTCAAATGTCGCCGAACCTGACGGGCCAGTGCACCGGGATCCCCACAGGGGTCCGCCTTTTGCAGGATCTTTGCCACCGGGAGCAGCTTCCCTGGGAAACCCCCGCGGGAGCCGTGTGGCCGGGAGGGGCCGGCAGGGATCCACCTGTCCTGCCCTTGGCCGTGCCCCAGCAAGCCCCGATTCCGGCATGTGTTGTAATTCTAGAGTTTGCTAATGAGCTTGCCTCTGTGCCCTGCACACCCCGTGCGCCTGGGCATTGGCAGCTCAGGCTGGTAATCCTGCTAACCCGGCCTTGGCAGGGGGAACGCTCCTTCAGTGTGCTGGGATGGAGATCTGGCTTCTTGCTATGCACAGGGATGGCCGTGGATGAGTAAAATGAGGGGGAAAATTATCCTTGCTAATAATTCTTTTCCATTCTGCCTTGGTGGTGGCTGTCTGCATGCTTCCTTCCCTCTGCTAGCTCCGGTGGGAGCTGTCAGCTGTGGGATCAAAGGTTTGCTGGGAGAGTAGTGATAAAACTTTTAACTTCCAGTAAGTGGCACCTCTCTGCCAGTTATTTAAAGCCTCTGTCTGCATTGTTCCAGAACTATTTCCTTTTTCCTCTAGGCAACCTAGAGTAGAAAGCTGACAATCCCTCAGGTACTCGGTTGCACCTCGCTGGAAGCCTGTCCTGGTGCTGGGTTGGAGGCCAGCAGAGCCCGCAGCGTGAGAGCAGGGCTCTCCTCCTGCCTTTGTGGAGCTGGCCGAAGGTGGCTCTCCTGGGCTGCTCCCGGGCAGCACAGAAATGGGCCCTTTTTGGCCTTACTCACATTTCCACTTTCAGGTCAGAATATCAGCATTGGTGAGGCTGTAAAATGGATGTGCTGGCTGGGGACATCTTTCTCTATCCTTTGAAGTGCTCGGAAGCATTCCCACCGATTTCAGTGAGAAAAGTTCCTTTGTCTGATGTGCTTTTCCATGTGCCAATCAGTATTTTGTGCTGACTGGAAGGGAAAGGACAAGGCACTGCTTTATGGTGGATGTTTTTAGACCAGGGCATTTTAAACCGTACATGCAATTTGCAGATCAGTAATTTGTAGTTGTTTGTCAGTTTGTTTGTAAGAACCGATCCACCCTCTTAGATATGGCCATGGCTAAAAATGAACATAAAAGATACCCAGTTATGACTGAAAACTTTGCACTGTGAAAGCAGGAGTTATTCCTGTGGTAACAAACATGGCCTGCAGACCCACAGAAATGAGCTGAAAGCAAGATGTTGAAATCAAATTGTAGGCCAGGTTTTTCGCCAGTGTCCTTCACAGTGCCAACGGCCACCTGGAGTCCAGCATTATGTGAGCATTTGCATTTGGAGCCCATCTCAGTTGCGCAGGGAATCACTTTCCAAAAGCAGTTTTCCTGCCAACAGGGTTTGTTTGCTTGGTGATAAGAAACAATGGTCAGCTCAGTTTGTTTCTTGAGCATTTTAGTGACTGAGAAGTCTGGCATCCTGTACTAGATCCATTTTCTTAGCTACTCAAATGCCAGCTTGGCAGCATATCTAGGAAGCTGATAGCACTGGGACAGGCGTGATTGTGGAGGTTGTTTTCAACAGTTTCTAGTAAGTCTGTTTTTAAGACACCTCCTTCCTTTTTTCCTTTCCTGGGAAAAAAAATCGTAGTTACCACCTTCATGACTGGGAAGTCTGGATGAGAGAGAGGAGGGAGGCATGGGCATGCAGCTTAATATCCTGCTTTTCAAAGTGCCTTAAAAACAGGACTGGGTTTAGTTTTGAGTAATTAATAGATTTATTAATAGTTATACCCCATTTTTTGACCTTTTTGGCCTCTGGGGTTGACATGTGCTCAAGCACCCATTCATTTCTCTCACGGGCCTTTCCAGTTGCCAGGAATAGCTAGGAAGCTTTTGCCAAAACCCTTCCATCTGGGAAAAGCACTGTGCACTTGCAGTGGGGCTGTGCTGAGTCAGTGCATTATCTTGGTGTCATTCCACGGGGCTGAAGAAGTCAGAACAAGACTGTCCTTGTGCTCAGGTCTCAGGTTGTGTCTCCGTGCCATCAAGCTTCCCAGAGTCCTGAGACTCGACCTCGGGATGAAACCCCAGTGTTATTTGAGAAAGCCTGAGCGTGGTATCCATGGAGAGGACAACGTGCTCCAGGTTGCACATCCTTATTTTACTGGTGTCACAAACAAGTTATTCTTGTGCACTGCAGAGAGCCTCACAGCCACAAAACCAGCAATAATTTTATAAATGATAAGCTTGTTTTCCTCCTCCTGTTCCCAGATACTCTGAGTGCAGCAGACAGCAGAGATGTGCATTGCTGGAATCCAGAGGGTTTCGTAATTTGGCAGCCACTTGCTGAAAGCCCTGCAGATACAAAACAACACTTATTTCAAGTCTTGAGAAACATCTCCTACTAAGTAGAAGAAAAAAGCATTTAGGTGAAGCAATGTTGCCAGTCCCATTTGTTTATGAGGCTTGGGTTTTGTCTTTATACATTTTAAATGCTTTGTATTTTCCTTCTGCTTTTTAAGCCTTTCAAGTTCATGTTTTCCATATGACAAGAAAGTCTGGAATCAAGTCCTTACTTTTAAAAGCAAAAATTTGGTTCAGAGTCCTGTATAATCATGCAACTCCAGACATAGTGTGTTTAAAAATAAAGCCACTTTGATGAGAACTACCCATCTTGAAGGTGACTTTCTGTTCTGAGTTTAAGTAAATACTTTGTTGACAGTTTAAGAAGCTTTAACAGCACCTGATCTGTGTTTGCTTTCCACTTGGATCTCTCTCTCTTTTCTTCTTTTCTAAAATTCTAGAGCTTGTTTCACCTCTCTGTGTGCTGAAGAGATCAGAAATGTAGTGTGGCAGCATTTGGTGAACAATGCATCCCAGCGCTTTCAGAAATACACCTGCAGGTTTCATGCAGTTGTCCCTGAAGCTGCTGAGTGGTACCCTGGGACACAGAGCCCAGCTTCAGAGAGAGGAGGAGGAGGAAGGTGGTTTGAGTTTACTGGGTGGGGTAAGGCAAGGAACAGAAAGCCTGGCGTGGCTCCCTGTGGGAATCCCAAGTGCCTTCAGAGCCTGAAGCTTGGTCGCTTGGTGTTTAACCCAGTCCTTGTTTTTGAAAGGAAGTTGACAGACAAATGATTTTTTTTTTTAGTGGAACGTTCTGAATATACTTATTTTATGTTTGTTGTTTGATGCAGTTTGATGTAGTTTGAGGCAGATCTTCAAGCTGTATGCGAAAGGCAAGGAGACGTGCCTGGAAATGCATAATCCGAGGGACACAGGCACAGTTTTTGACAGGCTGCTCTTCCTGCTAACACCTGGTAAATGCAGAGTCCTGGCTCCATGTAAGTCCCATTCTGGGCTCCTAAGCCAAATGCTCTACAGTGGCATTTCTAGGAGGTTACTGCTCTACTTGTGTGGTTTGAATCGCTTAAGTCTTTGGCCTGGTGCCCTGGAGTGCCAGCAGAGGCTTGCTGTAATTGCCCGTAAGTGCACCGTCTGTCAGATTATTGTTTAATTATTCCAGCTTCTCACCGCCACACACTGCTCAGTGTCTCTCTTGCTATCTTTATTTAATTGAGTGGAAGAAATTCGAGGCTTGTGTGTCTCTTACCTCACTTTGTTTTTACCATCCTCGCCGCATCCTACTGTGAAGTCCCACCTTTTGTTTGCAGAAGTCAGTCTTCTATAGAGAAAAAAACCATTGTCAATATCTCAAGCATATGTTAGAAAGAGAATCAATATTTTAACACATGGTAAAGTCAAACCATAAATCTCTCAACACAGTGAAATGATTGTATTATTCTCCCTTGAAACACTGCTCCTCCCCCGGGAAACAAGAGAGGGAAAGAAAACTCTTGGATAACCAAGCCCTTGTCCTCACAATGCAGGACTGTTCTTAGCCCTTTGCTCTGTGTTGCTCCTTCCTCTTCAAGATCCATCTTTTTCCAGCCCATCCGTGTTCATCTGTTCCAGAGTATTACTGGGATATCAGCTCTTTTCCCAAGATCAGCTTGGGATGACCAGTTCCACTGCCTACCTGCTGCCTTTTCAAACATCTCTGTGCTTCCTCCCATCCTTGCTACCAGGCTCTTAATAATGTGTGTTGAAAAATAATCTTTCTGAGCTCTCTCTGACACTCTCCTTGTCTCTATGGCCTATAAAAACACCTGGCAGTGCTCTGACTGCTTTTCTTCTCTCATGCTCCCTGTGCCTGTGACAAATATGTGTTATTTTTCTGGTCTTACACTTGGCTTTCAGCCTCTGAATCTGAACACTCTTCTTGTACAGCCCCCGACACAAAGATCAAGGCTATGGTGCACTACCACAATAATAGTAAATGTTAGGGTTGCTGGCACTCACTCTGCAATAGTTTTCATGGCTCTGGGCAGAAGAAGTGTCACAATGTCCTTTTGGAAGATCTATCTTCCAAATGAATGATTTAGTTTTCAGGGTTTCATTTAGAAATCCTCAGCTAAAACCTCCCTTTACAGGTGTGCTCCCTGTAATGCCTGCCTCCCTTACTGATTTTTGGGGT